CATAAAAAATATACTATACAGGTGCACGTAGAATGATCAAAGAGCCGCAATTTTGGCGTTTCAACGCGAGCGTCTCTCGCATCAGTCTTGTATGATGATTGTAACAGTTCCGTCATGTAACAATCCCTGACAACACTTTGATGTGTCGCTTGCAATTAGCCACAGAACGTGGTGTTTTCGCGATGTATAACGGTTCTTGAACACGGTTTTCGTTAAGAAGAATATGCAGCTGGTGTTTCGGAAACTGATGAGTATGCTTTGTGGCATTATTGGACGATTATAACGGTGTATTTACTAAGTAATTAGCTTAATGGCCACTTTCGCTATAAATATATATCCAAAGTTTTTATTAACTCTATTATGATTTGATATCTTTAAGACTTTGATGTCCTTTTTTTTGGGGGGGGGGGGAATTAACTTGTTTTTTTTTTTTCTTTTTCAGTGAGTACTCAGTTAAAACGAATAACATTATAACAAAAGAAGTTAGCTACTAGGTAATCGAGACACAGAACTCGGTGAACGATAAAAACGAACTTAGGGGGATGTTTATGTACACACTCGTGTATTCATGCAACACTCGCTATGATGTACATAATTTTTGACGATCTACTGTTGAATGTGGTCTTACAGCTAGTAATAGCCCCATAGAAACAGGAACAGCAACAGTTTCAAAGCAGAATAAAAAAAAAAAGTCTAAGATTAGATGAATATCTATTATAATTATAGTTTTTCCAGAAAAAGCAAAAAAAAAAGGAAAGAGACTTCTTACACTGGTAAGTCATAAACCTACATTTTCATAAAGATTACAATTAGCTCTTTCCTAACAAAAGGTCCCCACCCCCCAGTGGCACAGCGGTATGTCTGCAGACTCACAACGCTAGAAACCGTGTTTCGATACCCGTGGTGGGCAGATAGCTTTGAGAAGAAAGAAGTAAAGTAACATCATAAAAATACTCCTGAATGTAAATTTCAAGCTGTGTTCAAAACCCACTTTATTTATACAGACCCAATATAGCTGTTATATTTCTGAAATGTTTTCATACCATCACGAACCTAGGAATGTTTCTTAAATGAAGAGCTGCTGAAATATTAGTATGTCAAAATGAACCGAGGAATGTTCAATTATTTTTAAATATTGTTATATCAACACGAACTTGGGGATACTGAACTGTTTTTGAAATATTATTATTATTTGAACATAAACCTAAAAATACTGAATCGTTTCTGGATCGCTATTGTACCAACACGAACCCAGGATTATTGAACTATTTCTGGATCACTACTATTTCGACATAAACTTAGGAATGTTGAATTATTTTTGGATCGCTATTGTACCAACATGAACCTAGGGAATATTGAATCATTTTTGGATCGCTATTGTACCAACATGAACCTAGGGATGCTGAATTATTTTTGGATCGCTATTATTTCGACATAAACTTAGGAATGTTGAATTATTTTTGGATCGCTATTGTACCAACATGAACCTAGGGAGTATTGAATCATTTTTGGATCGCTATTGTACCAACATGAACCTAGGGATGTTGAATTGTTTTTGGATCGCTATTGTACCAACATGAACCTAGGGATGTTGAATTGTTTTCTAAATGTATTCCTATCAGAGTAAAATAAAGAAAATAGAAATGTGTCTTAATTCTTTTCATATCAATATTGTATAGGGAACTTCGAGCTGTGGTTTAATTTTATTCTAATACAATGTATTTAGACAGATTAAACGATGCTTTAAACATGAAGATACCAGCATGATTAATATAATCAATTAGCCTTTCTTTCATGAACATTTGAAAACAATACTTAATAACATTCTTAGAAACAACTAAATAAGATTTAATATTTCTATAAACGTAAATAAAATCACGACCTATATCTCCAGAATGTAACTTTATTAGCTCAATATTTCGCTATTACAGCTTCGTCAGGAGCTATCCATATTCAACAAATTATATTAGTGAACTTGTAGGATATGGATAGCTCCCGACGAAGCTGTAATAGCGAAATATTGAGCTAATAAAGTTATATTCTGGAGATATAGATCGTGATTTTATTTACGTTTATAGAAATGTCTCATAATAAACTCCAGTTTGCGTTAAACAAAGTTAAGAATAATAAGGTTTAATATTACTTCAGAAAGCTAATAAACTAAATAAGTTAATTTTCTAATTGGTTTAATGCTTAGTGCTTCAATTTCTCGTTAGGTAACTTATGTTAAATTATATTACGTGATCTTACATATTTTTATGAAGCATAATCTTTTGAATTCCACCAGTGTAGTAGGTTGACTTAATGGCAAGAAAGGACATTAAAAGAACATTCTTCAGTCTAAATAGTCTCACAGCTCCTTAGGTCCACGGTCGTATATGTGATAATTTTTAAGAAGCAATTGAACGTTGCCAGTTTCTTGATGGTGTGGTAAAAAAGCGAAACAATAATTCAAGCTTTTAGGCTCATTCTCGAGAAATTCTCCACAATTTATGCTAGTACGATACGACTGCTTTTATACATGTGGCTTTTGCAAGAAGCTTTTTAATGTGCTTTTATTTATGATAAAGAAAGATTAGATTTTTCACGGTTGGAATGAAAAATTATTATCGTAACTTTATTACGTTAAAGTTATTGTGTAGGCCTGTAATACGTGTAGTAAAACGTGAAGACTTTTCTTTGCTGAGAAGGGAATGTAACTGATTACGTCGTGGACATTTTCGATCACCACGTGGAAGCTATCACATTTTATTCAGACCATTTAACTCTTTCAAAAACCTTATAGACTAAAGTAGAAAATGTCTAGCATCAAGATTACGACAACATTTCGCCAGTCCTGTTTTTGTACACATGAAGTGTGAGCTTGTTTATGTTTTTACATTTACGGTGACATATTTATTACACTCTGATATGAATTACTCTACTCATTTTAAACGCTATTTGAAGTTTTTTCTTCCTATTTTTTTTGTTTTCGTGGAGGCTCTCTTACTTTCTTCTTTCACTCGCTGTTATCCATGAGCATCAGACACGTATGATAACCCAGCCAGTTGAACTAACTGCCTGTAATGTTTCAGAAAGAGAAGCTAATTTCCCAAACTTTGTAGCTGTATACTAAATTTATATTAATTATTTTAAAGTGCCTTGGGAGAAATATGTAAATTATCAATGGCAGCTTTGTTTTCATTATTAGTCATTAACTACACAAACTTTCCTGTGATATGGAAAAATTTGAATATTAATTGTTTGTTTATATAAAGTTAGTTTGTCCTATCTGTCTATCATGCAGTACACCTTAGATATAGTTAAAATAACTTTAACCAATGAAATGATTCTTTTTGTTCTTTGTTTTAATTTCGAAATCATGGACGCCTTTAGACATTTCATCGGTTGTTGAAAGACACGAATCTTTTTACAAGGATCAACCTGAATATTCTCTTGTAAAAACCAAACATTTGATATCATAATACAAACATATATATATACTAGAATGTACATCAATATAATTTTGTATAACTCCTCTCGGTATGTGTAGGAAGAAAAGAGCTTTTCAACAATGCATTTCAAAGGCTTCTACAACTCAGACTCTTCGCGTATGCAGGCAGAAATAAAATATTTAATTAATGACATTTTCCATGCTTCTATGGATGCAGTGTTTTGTTTGCAACAGTTGAAAGCTTTCCGATTTTACTCTTTCATCTTGGGGCTTAAGAATTAGGTGGTCTTGTCATAATGCTAAGCTCATTTCTGTTTCTAGTACAGAAAAAGTTACACTGTGTAGACAAAGAACATAAAATTATTTAAGAATGATAGATCTGAAACAGAATAGGAATAAAGAAAATTACGACATAGAAATGTTCGACTTTTTTGTTTTTGTTTTGTTTCCATGTTGTTTTTACACTTTGCAACTTTGTAAACTACTTATTAGAAATCCTACACTACTTAACCAAGACTCTGTGTGGTCCGTCTAATGTTACCGAAGTTGCTACGTGCTTCCTGTTTACAGCGAGTGAGTTGACAGAAGGAGTAGTTCCAGGAAAGCTTTCTGTAATCTCTTGTCATCAGAATTATAAAAATAGGTAATTAAGTAAATGAAAAAAAGAACAGCACATTGGCTGAAATAAGAGCAAATCTGCAAACTTTCGGGTATCATTCGATGTAGCTTTATAATAATTAAAAAATCAGCTTTTCTCTTGTTTAGTGAAACACTTTCGATTGTCTATAGAAATTCCTTTTCGAATCGTATTTTTGTTTACAAATATTTTATTCTTCTTCTGTTTTTGGAAATGGATAGCATAATAGGCTTTAAAATACATTGTTTCATGTTGGACGAATGCATTCTTTATCTCGAACAGGTACAGGATCAGAATACCGAGTTTTAAAACAATTGTTGTTAGTTGTAACGTATGTCAAACATTAACAGTGCTTGCTGTTACACTGTAAAATAGCAGGATTTTGTTAACTTCTTATAACTATAATATCTGTTTAAAAATATGTATCAGGTTGATATTGGATATTTAGGTTTTGTAATACAACTGCGGCATAACCTTCAGGATGTACGACTAAACCCAATTCTATAAAAGTAATTTTTGTTTGTGAACATATAATGATTGCTGACAGTCATAATAACTGTTTGCTGTATTTCGTACCGATAACCTTTGTATTAATAACTCATTCAGTTTGAAAAAAATAAACAATTTCATTGAAATTATTAACATGGTGTTAGGGCTAGACATAAGTGGAAATGGAAAACAAAATACTAATTGATATTTTGGATAATGCCATGTCTCTTACGTAGTTATCTAGATTAAATAATTACCATAACAATCCTAAATGCCTGATTGAAAGCTAGAGTAATATCACAGTCTTTTTAAATCTCAAATTATATACATATTCATAGGTGAAAAATTAAATGGGTGTGAGGCAGATTTGCTTTTATTTGATTGGCTGCAAGTTGAAGAGATGAGCACGTGGTTCGTTGTACCATGTGGCGTTGTAGTGCACGATATGGCAGCTACGGAAGCAACAGCTGAGCGCTTCGAATTCCGAGAGAAGTTTTTATTTCTGCTGGTATTCTTTCTTTATTTAGGGTTGTGTGCCAACTTTTATTATACTTACAATGTCTCAAAAATCTGCAGTGTGAAGCCAGCATCCGATTCTAACTCCAATGCCGATTTACTGCAGAAGCAGAGCTTCGAAACACGCACAAGGCCAACGCCAACAGATAACACTTTCATTGGTAATGCAGACGGTGATCGTTCTCGAGCAGTTGACGTTTCTCAGGAACGCGGGAAAGCCTCTCAACATGGAAGTGGCTTCAACGGAAAAGGAGGACGCTTTTTACGCAGCTTGAAAGATGAAAGCTCTGGGTACTTTAGGAGTCATAAATCGGAAGTCGAGCCAAAAGACCAATGGAGTACTTACTTGTTCAAAGCAAATGATACAAGTTTTTTATTCTCAGCCTTAGGTCATCGCCTTAAGCGGCATGTTGACCCACATAAGCGAAGGCATTGGAGACGTAGCTCGCGAGATGGTGATGTCCCGAGCGTTGAGTTTTTCCCCAAGCCACAACCTACGATAGAAACTGAAGGGTTCGCTTGGGTAACTTCATATTCAAGGATAGCAGTAAGTAAAGATTCAGTTCTCATGCCATTTAAAGAAAATATTATTTTAAAGTGTTCACTTTATTCAATTACTTAGAAATATTTTCAGGTTTTATTTTCGATCATAAATATCATAACATGTTCTTTAAAGATAATTGTATTAATTTTATTGAAGTAAGTTAATAAACCTGAGATATTTGAAGTAAGTTAATAAACCTGAGATATTTAATGAATACCAAATACGTAATATTGTTTCTAAAAGAAAGCCCCCCAGTGGAACAGTGGTATGTCTGCGGGCTTACAACGTTAGAAACCGAGTTTCGATACCCGTGATGGGCAGAGCACAGATAGCCCATTGTGTAGCTTTGTGCTTAGTTACAAACAAACACATACAGACACACACACACCTCGTTCTTCCTTCAATGTGATAGTCTTCAGTTAGCCAGGAAACACACACACACACACAGCTCGTACTTCCTTCAATGTGATAGTCTTATATTAGCCAGGAAACACACACACACACACACACCTCGTTCTTCCTTCAATGTGATAGTCTTATATTAGCCAGGAAACACACACACACACACAGCTCGTACTTCCTTCAATGTGATAGTCTTATACTAGCCCGGAAACATTCGCAGCGCAGATAAGTAACGTCCAGAATCATTTTGAAAAATGCACCAAGGTCAGTGGTCAGTATCTTAAGCAAAGAGCAGTAATGATGCCATAAAAGTAAAATATATTTGTCACAGTTCAATAAGTTTAGTGAACCAGTTGCCACAGAATAAACTTTTGTGGAATTAGTGGTTTAAGTTTATTTTTGTTGGACCACTGTACAATAATACAGACTTGGTGTTAACCGATATTAGTGTCGCACAGCTCAAATGTCTAACTTAATCAATGTTTTCGACAAACGATGCTCTCTGGATTTAAAAAAAACAAAACAATTACATGTATCAAATTAGAAACGCTTTACATTTTTAAAATATTAATTCATTAGCCTTTCCATTAGATTCAAGATAAACTGGCTTAAGTATCATCAAAAGTGCTGTCGGAAAGTTATAGAAAAATTAAATGTAACTAGAGAATTCGTTGGTGTAATCATTTTCATTTCTTCCCTCATGTGACATGATTTAAAAAATTAGTATGTTAGCATAATGCTGCTTTTGACATCATTTCAAGATATGGAATTGAATCAAAATTGTTTCCGTACTAATGATTTTTAAGGTTGAGGAGTTAATCTCAACCTGCGGTTCTATCAAACTGTTTCGATTCGATACATACGTCTCTATAGGTGAAAGATTTATAAAATATAGATTTCACAAAAGTACGCAACTCTGCACATTTGTACAGAGAATAAGAAATAAATCTCGAATATTAGGAAATCAAGCGTGAAACTTGAGAAAACAGAAAGAATCATTGAACAATGTGACAAATGTGCGAGGAAATGAGTTACTCGCGAAAAGGTTATACTCTACCAAGTAACTACATTTTAAATATTTTGTTGTATCACAAGAGACAGTTTAAAAGTATTGCGTTGTGGACTGAGAGGTCATTTACTGTAATGTACAAAAACAAAACAAGTATCATGACAAGGGATGCTATAAAAATACTTTTTAAAACTAATTGTGAAAATATAAGAAATAATTGAGCAAAAAAAAAAAAGTGAGCTTAACGATAAATTTTGGTCGTTTCATGTATTATTGAAACTTTTTTTTTCATGTTTTGATTACAACGACGAGCCATAGACATTGTTTGGCAAATACTGAAACAACAGCACTTAGTAATGTGCAGATATCCAACCGTGTTTTTCACTTACATGTGACGCATGCCGAACTTGGAACGAAGATTTTTATACTTCATAACTGTTATCTTCTTTTTTCGACCCCCCAGTGGCACAACGGTATGTCTGCGGACTTACAACGCTAGAATCCGAGTTGGAGCACAAATAGGTCATTGTGTAGCTTTGTGCTTAATTACAAACAAACAAACAAGTTACCTTTTTAAAGACGCGCGATACCGTTATGTCTTTCTTAGATGAACTCAAGATAAAAACGTTAAACCTCCCCCTACCACCCCATCCTCAAGGCATACCAACCACAAAAGTCTTTGGGACTGTAAAAAAAAATGTGGTTAAAAATCTGCCAGTATTAAGAGTTTTTTTGTTTTTAATTAATTAATCACAAAGCTACACAAGGGCTATCTGTGCTCTGCCCCCCACGGGTATCGAAACCCGGTTTCTAGCGCTGTAAGTCCGCAGACGTACCGCCGTGCCACTGGGGGGCAGTAACAAGAGACATGAGCACTAATACATAGTCGTGCCCGCTAATTTTTGTTCTGCTAATAGTCGGCACAAAAAAATACACAAATTAAAAAAAAGCTTACAGTATTATCGTCTTGCTCTTAATTTGTAGTTTTTTATATTTTAAAGTCGACTGATTAATGATCTCTTAGAATATTTACTGAAAAAATAAATTAAAATGTAGGCTAACTACACTAATGGGCCATTTCATTACTCCCCTTCCCCAGCACACATGCGTTTGTAGATCATCCTATTTAATTTTCTTATTCAAACATGGTTGATCATGGGATACGTCAGGTGGTAGATTTAAATTGTAAATCCAGAGGTGTAGCCATATAATTCCTAACTTCCAGGATAATGGATAAGAGCAAGAATATTCTTGAATGTCGAAAGGGTGCGATAGTTGGTGACCGTCTAGCACGAACTCGTTATGAAAAAATCGTTTCTTTGTTAAGCTTTTCAAATAAACCCACAATCATATTATATCAGCAGTGATAATCGAGATGGAACACATCTACCACTAGGAAAACAATTGTGGCGGACAACTGCCGATGGCTGACCGAGGCAAAACACAAGTGGACAGGCTGGTAAAGTACAACAGACACCAGTCTGAGTCTAAGTTGACATTTTACTTGATTTAAACCATCTACATAAGCTGCTAAGTTGGATGAAATGTCTCTCTGAGACACTGACCACAGTTACCAATAATGGAATGTTTACTGTCTGTATGAACATAATTTTGCTAAGGAAGAACACGTAGCTGATGTAAACGTGTTTTTAATGTGACAAGGTTTTCGTTTTTATTAATCACACTATACAATAATAATAATAATACCCCCCCCCCAAAAAAAAACAACAACTGACGTTTCTTTCAAAAGCTCTTCAACTGCCTTTTTCTGTAGCTCATTTTCATTTCTGGGTGCATTTTGGATTTCGGAGCTGTGTTCGAATCTGTGCGATACCAGAAAATATTCCATGGGTGAGTCATAGAAGTGACAGTCAATCCCTTAGCGTGGGTATGGACGATGTGATAGTAGCTATGAAGTATTTGGATTCCGCAGCTTATGCTTCATATAAATGTATTTAAAGACGAAAATCACAACTCCAGTTTCATCGTGGACTGCACTTCTTGGTCCATTAGGACACGAACATTGACAAGCAGTTATAGATGTTTATTAAAACTTTAGTATTGAATACTCTTTGTAATATGAAAATCAAATACCCGGAAAACTTGGTTTCATTTATTATTTAGTAACCTCTTTTATTTTTTTTTCTTCAAATTTTTTACACAAGACTAATTAAGGTATTGTTGACAGTATTATTACTGTCAATATTATTTACTTACAATATTATTTTCGAAACATTGAAAGTTGTTACAT